CATGCTCGCCCTTTCAGCCGTGCGGGTGTTATAATGTGACGGTCAATTCCACTATTCGTTGGTAAAAGAGTAGCCCAAGAGTTGGCGGTGGGTGGTGATGACTAGCTGCCTTCCCTCTAGTCTTACACTGCTAAAATAGGGGCGGCTAGCGCAGATAGCCCTAGTGTAGCTTTGCGCGAAATTCATAACAAACAAACTTATCGTACAGTTTCTAATGAATCAAAGGAAGTAGCAAACAAACATATAAATGTAATTTGAATTGTCTTCTATTGTTATATGGCTTTTCGGTAAGTTAAATGGCAAAGACACTTTAATTAATACTGAAAGTACTTCGTTACTTTTATTTTAATGGCGGAAATCGCCTACGCAGTGTCAACTAATTTGTTCCGATTACATGCGTGTCTACAGTAGATCACCTTAACATCAACTCTGTGGGGTTCTATATATACTGTGATGTTGATAAGTCCACGAAAGTTTGTCCGTCTCCGATCTTTCTCGCAAAGCTATACGTGAGGGCTACTGTCGCATAGTCGACCCTAAACCTTGAGTTGATAAACTGGATAAAAAGCAGCTATAGTCACATATATCAATCGTATTTCTTGGGCTTCTCTTGTTTGATCGAACAGCGGGATTTAACTGTCACTCTTATAGTGCTGAGCACGTTTTCGAAGCAACAGACCGTGAATCATAAACCCCGAGATTCAGAGTCTGAGCACGCTAACCGCCATGACACGCGCACCTTAGTCTACGAATTAAAAAAAAAAAAACTTGTGGTCACAAAATACTTCTATACATTTTAGTCCGAACTGTATATATTTTTACTTTCTGGTAGTTTCAAAATTTCAACTGAAGATTCTCCAGGACATGCTTTTTTATTATCGTTCATTTAATAACCCCCCAGTGGCACAGCGGTATGTCTGCAGACTTACAACGCTAAAAACCGGGTTTCGATACCCGTGGTGGGCAGAGCACAGATAGCCCTTGTGTAGCTTTGTGCATAATTAAAAACAAACAAACAAACAATCATTTAATAATGAAATTAATTTGCTCTGTTTGTTTGTTTATTATGAATTTCGTG